ACTATTGATCCACGTAAACCTAAGTTTAAGCAGGGTGATTATGTTCGTATTAGCAAGTATAGACATGTTTTCACTAAAGGGTATACACCAAATTGGACCAATGAAATTTTTAAAGTTAAAAAAGTTAAACTAACAAATCCAACTACTTACATATTAGAAGATGAAAAAAAAGAAGAAATTCAAGGTGGTTTTTATACTGAAGAATTGCAAAAAGTTAAATATTCTGATATTTTCCTAATAGAAAAAATTATTTCTAAAAAAGGGAATAAACTTAGAGTAAAATTTCTTGGAATGGATAATTCTCATAATGCATGGATAAATAAAAATGATATAGTATGATATGTATTTATTTTTTTAAATAAAAATTTAAGTAATAAATATTTTTTTATTCAGTAAAACATAATAATGCTGAATCATTACACATATTTTGTTTCAGGTAGAAGAGTGGATGACCATTCTCTTTTATTGACTCCTGATTTTTTTCTTCCATTTCTTCAATTAAATGTTTTTCATCCTTTTCATATAATACCTTAGATTTGCATATAATGCTATCATCCTCATCACAAGAATTATATTCATTTATATTTTCAGACAATGCTACAATCCATGTGGTTGATACATTATTGGGCACTTCACAGCTGAGTTGATTACCATGCTCATTATCGTCCTCATTAAGATAGTATTCATCAAATTCCATAAAACAGATTGGGTTACTGATTAAGATTGGGACCTCCAAATCAATGGGTTCATGTAGCCAATAAGCAGCTATGACTGCTGGATATCCATAACCCTCAGAAACACCTGACCATATGTAAATTTTTATATTTTCACAATTACATTTCTTCATGGCTAACCCCAGTCGGTTTATCTTATACTCACTTACTTCATACTTTTTACCACAACACTCGAAAATTACCTCAATAGTATGTTGGTAACCCATTATGGATAATACAATTTTCTTAATGCTCACATATTCTTAATGCATCCTTTTATTATATTACCCCCACATACAACGACCCCCCCCCCCTTCCCCCCACTCCAAACATTCTCTCCCACTCCCCTAATAAAAAACTATTTATTTATAATATTTTATTTTTTCATACATATTATTTCTATGATTCACATCTAAAATTGGATTAATAATTTTTGCCGTTTCTTGAATGCGATGATCAAATCTAATTCTATCTAACATATTACATCTTCTTGCTGCTCTGTAAGCAAAATCCCAGGTGATCATATAATATACTTTATTTCGATCTTCTCTAAAAGTTACTTTCTTCATAGTTGCAAATCTTCTTTAAGTATGTCTGGATGAAGATAAATCAATTTTAAGGCCATTCCATATGTTATTGGATTTATATTCTTTAAAGGTGCCATTATTTTGAGACCATCATTAACCACATCCACACTATTCTGAACACCCAATTGAAGAATTTTTAATGAGCTGTTAAAATATTGTCCTCTTAAAGTATCCAAGTAATGTTTTATCAGCGGAAGAATTTTCCAAAGCATCAACACACTATTTGATCCCAAATAAACGTTGGAATCACCACTAAAAATTCGAATTGCTTTAGACTTGAAAAATTGTTTGAATTCCAAAAAAAAATTTCCATCATCAATTGCATCTCTTGGTGTGTCAGATTTTAAAAAATCATTAATAATATTTTCATAAGAGATAAAATCTTGCCATTCCTTTTCGTTAAAGATTACTGAATCGTTATTGTTTCCAGATATCACAACACACGGTGCAAAGTTATTATTATATGATAAACATACTATGACATGTTTGGTTTTTGAATCATTTAAATGAAACTTTTGTTCACCAACAAAAACGTCGACTTCACGATTTGAAGACATTTTGTACTGATGTTTGGAATAAATATTGCATACTTATATCATATCACTGGTGGTGGGGTGTACGCATTCTTCGGGTCTTTTACTTGCTAAGACAAGTCTCGAGGTCATTAACCCTCTGACCATCAAACTAGATTTTCAGGTTAGGTATCTGGTTTGCACATTTTGGACATACATGGGTTTATATGATTTATATAATGAGGTCATCAACCAGGTATTCGGTCAAACCGGTTCACAAATTTTGGAGGAGGGGGTAGCTCATTAAGTCGCACATTATGCACATACATCCCTACACTACTAACCTAGTTCAGTCTCTTGAGGTACTCCGCACGTAACATATTAAATAAAAAATCATTTAATTGAAGATCAATATTTTTGTTTTCTTCCCAGTAAGTAGCTTTCTAAGAGTTTTTATTGAATGCCTTCGACTCCAACATCTTCTAGACTTTCTAAAAGAAGTTGATAATCGACTGTATCATTTGCTTTTGATAAATCCAAGAATTCCTTAATTGTAAGGATATTAAAAAAAATTCTAACTCAGAAAAAAAAAACTATATCAAATTGAAATCTATAGTAAAAATCAAGCTTTAAAAGGGGATGAAGCCTATTGATTCTGAAAAAAATTTTGATTGAAATAGGGGTTAAATTGTGAAGAGTATAATATAGAATGCAAAGCATTATACAGGGTTGGCCAAACCTCTGTCGTAGTTCTATAACTCCTACTATGCAAATCTTAACGATTTATTTGATGTATACCTGTCAATGGTGGCCAATACCAAATATCCCAAAATTATTTTCTTGTGTACAGGGTGGCCCAGTAGTAAATTAGGCAAATCACTTAATTTTTTTTAAATGGAATGACCCAACTTTTTTTACAATTTTAGGTACTCTATGGTCACTAGTACATACCCACAAAATATTGTTTCTAACATCCCACCCCTTTCGCAGAAAAAAAAATTACCAAAAAATATTACATTTTCAGACGCCTATTAAAATATGCAGTGCTCTCTCAAATTTGATGTTAGAATTTAAAAAACTACGATTGTATAAAGCCAATAAACCAAAGATTTTTTTGGACCAAGTTTGAATTTTTTATTTTGTACAGGGTGGTCACAAATTAATTTCACTTTCTAAAAATTTCGAGGGAAATTTTTTAAAATTTTTCAAATATATTACCCTGTATTTCTATTCATCAACTGAAGGAAAATTTCATACCCTTCCACTTCCCTATGTACTTTCCTATACCTATCTGTCGCCGTTATAAAATAAATTCAAAAGGAAGAAAATTACGATAATAAAATTTATTTGAAATTTATCCTAAAACATAAATTTACATTTTATAAAAGATGCTCAAAATGTCTGCCATTTTCTCTAATGCATACATTTATTCGTTGGGCGAATGATCGAGAAACGTTTCTAAGCATATCAGGTGTAATGGAATGGAAAGCTTGCACTATCCTTTCTTTCATATTTTCAGGTGTTGTAGGTGGTGTAAGATAGACTAGATTTTTAATATAACCCCACAAAAAATAAACGGGTTTTGTTAAGTCAGGTGATCGAGCTAGCCATTTTTTTGGACCATTTCTACCAATCCATCTATTTGGAAACTTTTCATCTAATTCATCCGCCACTTCGCGTAAAAAATGCGCTGCTGCCCAATCATGTTGGTACCACATTGTTAGTCTTACAGCAAGGGAAATGTTTTCAAGTAAAGTAGAAAGATGATTTGCTAAAAAATCTAAATACATCAGACCATTTAAGTTGCCTTCAAAAAAATACGGCCCAATAACATGATCCCCAATTATACCTCTCCAAACATTTACACTTCATCTTTCTTGGCTATGTGTTCTGATGATGTTAGGATTTTCCGTGGAATAATAGTGGAAATTATGTCTATTAACGAATCCGTTCTTGTGGAATGTAGATTCATCAGAAAACAGCAATTGTATTTTATAAGGATGATATTGATGCTGTTTTAAAATCCTTCTAACGGATGTTCTACTTATACCTACTACTTCGGCAATCTTTTTTTGACTTATATGAGGATCTTCTATCGCTGTCAAAATTGCAGATAATTGGTTATCATTATCAGTAGCACGTTTGTCAATTATTGGTTTTTTATAAGCAACATTTCCTGTTTCGGTAAATCTTTCATGTAACTTTTCAAAACTTTTTTGATCAGGGATGCGTCTATCGGGATATCGTTGATGATAAATTCTTTTTGCCAATAAACAATTTCTGTCGGATTCTCCCAAAACATAGATCATGTCAATTAATTCGTTTCTCGTAAAATTCATTAATAATAGAAGAATTATCGCGATCAGTAAAAATAACTTGACACTTCATTAATAAATAATCTGACACTTCATTAAGACCCAGCCTACTTGATTGAATGTTCACTTTCAATAAAACCACTGGTAGAAATTGGATTTTTTATAGATCAATGTCTTTTTAGAATTTACTTTTAAACGACGACAGATAGGTATAGGAAAGTACATGGGGAAGTCGAAGGGTATAAAATTCTCGTTTCATCGATGAATAGTAATACAGGGTGTTCTATTTGAAAAATTTGAAAAAAATGTCCTAGAAATTTTTGGAAATTGAAATTAATTTGTGACCACCCTGTACAAAATAAAAAATTAAAACTTGGTCTAAAAAAATCTTTGGTCTATTGGCTTTATACATTTGTAGTTTTTTAAATTCTAACGTCAAATTCGAGAGAGCACTGCATATTTTAATAGGCGTCTGAAAATGTAATATTTTTTGGTATTTCTTCTTTTTCTGCGAAAGCGGTAGGATGTTAGAAACAATATTTTGTGGGTGTGTACTAGTGACCATAGAGTACCTAAAATTGGAAAAAAAGTTGGGTCATTCCATTTAAAAAAAAAATAAGTGATTTGCCTAATTTACTATTGGGCCACCCTGTACACAAGAAAATAATTTTGGGATATTTGGTTTTGACCACCATTGACAGGTATACTTCGAATAAATCGTTAAGATTTGCATAATAGGAGTTATAGAACTACGACAGAGGTTTGGCCAACCCTGTATATATTCTAGTTATTATACTTTGCAATAAAAAAAATATTATTTTTTGATTGTTTCACTATTCTGGAACAAAAAGCGATATAATAAAGAACACTTACTTTAAACTCCTCAAACTGTTTATGATCCTCATGATTACCAGCAGCTAAAAGGGATAATGCCTTTGAGCTGATAGCACTGACTGCAACTACAGAAGCCGCCACTAAAAATAATACAGTAAACTTGTGGAACATTTTGACAATACTATGCTGAAAGCACGTCGAAGATTATTAAATTTACCAACATCCCACTGGTATTTATAGGTTACATTTGAGTATTATGTCACTAAACATAAAACCGAGAATTAGGAAGATAAATATCCATATTATTTTTGACCTAGGTATCCTTGAAATTAATAAATAAATAAATTACGAGTATTCTAGTAATTAATTTGAAAAGTTGTTTGAAGTGTTTACCCGCGAAAGAGATAGAACAATTATTGGTGATGTAACAGGTTTTCTATTTAACTGAGTAAGTACTAAAACGATTTTTAATTAAGAACGGATTTATTTTATAGAGACAGTGACAATCAATTTAAAAATGCAATATTCATGGTCTTTTTAGTCCATGGTTGCGGTGCGACCATTCGTCTGCGCTTAAATCGGCAAATTGGTTGATTCCTTCGGTGTGACTAACTTCTCCTCTTGCGAATTTCGCCTTGTTTTCTTCAATATGCTTCAAAGTATCCTGGAAGTTTTTGAAACGGGTTTGTTCCTCTTCTGCCGTGTACTGTTTGTTGAACTTTTTCTAAAAAAAATATACCCTTTTTAAAATTGGAGGTATAGAAATGTAATTAGTAATTCAGCTCAAAGGCCTGCAGTTTTGTAGAAAATCTAGAAATGACCTTCCCGATGAAGTCACCGAAATTAGCATGCAACGTTATGATAAACGTTCCTGTTTGGCAATTCGGAAATATTAAAACATTCAACAATACTTTCTATGCCAACCTGATATAAAACATTTAAAAATATCTTTTGTATTAGCCTGGTAAAATTATGTTCTCTCTTTAATCAATACTTTTGCTCTTGCGCAGTCTTGCGATGCAATCGTGTATTTAATAGCGTTTGAAATTGTCAGATTTGTCTTCCATTTTGAGATTCTGTTCAGGTGGTTGGTTGTGTTATTCGTCAACTAAAGAAAAGATTGGGAGAGCACCTCACATGGTAGTAAAATAGACCAGTAGATAAAAAGAGTCAGTAAAATAGACCAGTAGCTAACTAGATCTGGAGAGTACCGCGCCACCAGAGTCAATCAGAACAGATAAGACATCTATACCACATTCTTTTGGAGCTCTGTAATGACCCGGCAGGAGGTGCCACTCTTCTAGCAACGTCCCATTGAAGTGCTGGAAATCCTCGTCCAACACCTGAGCATTTTTACCTCTACTACATTAAACCACGTTTTGGTATAAATTATTATTTAAATTATATATCTATAACCCAGAACTACACTATGTTAAGTCCAAATTGGACAAATTTTAGCTAAATATGTTAGGTGACTTAAAATTTTGAGGGGCATTGTTTGGTATTTTCCATTTTGGCGTATCTTTTAAAATAACTAAAATGGCTCATTTTAAACTACGCTAAGTCCACAGATCTGCTTAAGGCAAACAATGTTAAGTAGCGCTAACCTTATTTGCCTCTGGATTTGAATTCAGCTTCAATTTCTATTTACAATGCCTGGGACTAGAAGTGGTCCGTGGTCTTCTAGGACAAGTCGATTTTAAAGAATTTAAACGTCTTTTTGAGGGACCAACAAAACCAGATATCAATAAGAACAAAAAAAATAGCGCAAGCAACGATTTAATGATATTCCTAGCAGTTCACTTGCAAGTTAGGAGAAGTAACCCTGGAACTATCTATTATAAAACCGCTTTTAGTACAGAAGAAACAAGCTAAATGAATACACTCCTTTATCGATTCCACCGATTAGGGAGGGGCCTAAGCCAATTTAATTTAAAAAGTATAGCCATTTACAAAAACTTTTCAAATAGGTACCAGAAAAATTTCATGACTATTACAAAAATTTATAATACGGAAAAAAAAAACGAAAATGACGACTAAAAATATATTTGTTTATTAAATTAAGCAGTAAATTGTAATGAACAAGTAGTATTATTTTCCCTCCCTCCCAATTTACCTAAATGTAAAGTCCACTGAAAATATGTGAAGTGGATTCCTTTGGACTTAATAAATATGATAAATCAAAAAATTAGTTTTTTGTATATGCCAAACTATGTTAAGTCACTAAAATCAAAATCAAAAGTTCAAAAATTTGGCATTACGCTCCTTATTATAGTCTATTTTTATGTATGAGAGAGTTATAAAACAGCATTTCTAATGCAAAACTTAGTACGGTTATTTTAAACATTTTTACAGAATAATCTAAATATTTCCTAAAATTGTAATAAATGTACCTGAGCTACTACAAGTTTTGGGTATTTTATTGGTCCTTTATAAACATAAGCTGTACAGAACAATAGAAAAAGGTTTGGACAGGCCAAAAGCCCTGTGTATTAAAGATTACATTGCCGTATCTTAAGATTATTTTCAATAAGTACCTATTTACCAATTTTATTTTAATTCCAAGAATTTCTTACAGTAATCAAATTATAAGTAGATAAATACCTTCCCAACAAATTTCACCGAAAATGCGATTATAGGTTTTCCATTTAGTAAGGAGGTCCAAGTTGTGTATTCTTGACAGTTTACTAAATGTCGTTTAGTTGCAACTTGCAAGGTGCAGTGTGAATTCTAGTGTGATCATGGAAAATTTGGAACGGCCGCGTAAACGACAAACAATCGGTTAATGAAAAAACATTAATATTTAACTGTTTTAAATCATTTACAGACAAACATTTATGTAAAAGTGTTGATGACACAGTGGAATTAGTTAGTAATACGCTTGGTGTTGGGAAATCTACGATTTACAGAGTTGTTAAAGAAGAGAAATGTGGCGAGTTTCAAACAGCACGTAAAGCTCCAGGAAAACCAAAATTTCAATTAGAAAATCTTTTGAAAGAAAGACTTCGAAGGAAAGTGCATGCGTTCTTCTTTAGAAAAGAATTTCCGACAGTAGACAAAGTTCTTGCCACGGTTCGAGATGATAAGGATTACCCTGAAATGAGTCGAAGCACACTATGAAAACTTTTAAAAGAAATTGGTTTTCTATGGAAAAAGCATTCCAGAAAGTCTATTTTAATAGAAAGAAGCGACATTGTAGTATGGAGAAGACATTACCTAAGGACTATAAAAGAAATGAGAAACCAAAGAAGAAATATATTTTATTTAGATGAAACATGGATCAACGAGGGACATAAACCAAATAAATTTTGGCAAGATGAAACTGTTACAAGTCGAAGACAGGTTTTTTTAAATAATTTATCTATTGGTTTAAATCCACCATCAGGAAAGGGGCGCAGACTAATAATAGTACACATCGGTAGTTCAAACGGTTTTGTTAAAGGTGGTTTATTGACTTTTGAATCTACTCGTACAGGTGACTACCATAAGGACATGAATGCTGATGTCTTTAAAGAGTAATTCGAACAAATTATAGATCTTCTTCCTCAGAACTGTATAATAGTAATGGATAATGCAAGTTATCACTCGAGACTTATAGAAAAAATGCCCACAACCTAGTGGTTAAAAAAAGATTTACAGAATTGGCTAAATTCAAAGAATATTAAGTTCCATCCCGGTTCTGTGAGAAAAGAACTGTATCATTTGTGTTCCCTTCACAAAGAGAAATTCAAAAAATATGAAATTGATGAAATTGCAAAAAATCGTGGGATGACGGTGGTTAGATCACCACCATATCATTCTTTTAAAATGAGTGATGTTAAACAGTTGTTTTTGGAGGCTGTAAATAATGTGAAGCCTGAAAACTGGGAAAAGGCAGTAAATCATACGATTAAAGAAGAAGAGAAAATGTGGAAGTTGGACAATATTACTGATGAAATGATCGAGCCACTCATTGTAAATATTGGTTGCGACAGTTCATCTTCTGATTTCGATTCTGATTTGGATTTGTAGGTAAGAAGTAGTTTTTATATTAAAATTAATATTTATGAACGTAACGTTGTTTAAAAGTCAAAGTTTAAACCCTTATACCTACATAACCCGTTTGACACAATGTTCTTAACATACCTTGTGGAAAAATAAAACATTTTAGAAAAAATTGCACTTTTTTACATTCAGCTGTTTAGAAGTTATAAGCAGGTTAATTAGGTGAAAATATAAGTGTATACTCGAGGAATAACTTCAAAAAATATTTTAACTGTCTACTAAAAAAAGTGATACGCCTATGGATTACGAACGCTTTATTATTTTAATACTCTCTCATACATAAAAATAGACTATAAAATCAAAATCAAAAGTTCAAAAATTTGGCATTACGCTCCTTATTATTATGCCTAAAACTAATTTAATTTTGAATTAGTGACTAAATTTAGTAAAAACAAAATTTGATAATTTCAAAAAACTCTAAAATGAATATATTAAAAATATTTTTGAACATATTCTGGCTCTGAAGTACAGATACACAATTCTATGGCCTAGAGGCTTTTTATTGCTTCACCTTAAAGCCTTTTGCACAATGGAAATGTTCTTGCTTCGGAACATGTTGCTCATTCTATGCAAATAAAGAAATGCTACGAAAATCTGGAACTACTGCTTGAGAAAATCAAATACAATGAGCATAGTTGGATGATTTAAAAATTGTGGGACTTTTACTAGGTCAACGCAACAGTCAGGGTATTAAAGTAGATTAAAAATCTTATGTGATAGATGAAAACGGAATAGAATCAAATGTCAGATCGAAATCAACTTTTAAAAGTTTAAAAATTGCTTACTGTGTTATCTCGTGGGAACCAATATTCTAGTAATATTAATATAGACAACTTTAAAAACAGTAAACGCAGAACAAAAGTCTACAAGTACTTAAATAATTTGTATTTGTAACTACCTTTTTAATATTTTTAAATTCTAATCTAGTAGGTACGTGTCAAATTTTTAATAGTTTGACAAAATCTTGGCAATCAAATTTGAAGAAATGATTTAAATACGTTTTTAATTTATGGAAAATTTTGAACTTTTATGTCCTATATGAAAATGTAGAGCGAAAACAAAGCCCTAACCCTATAAAAATCAACAAGTCAAATTATTAAGGATTCAACTTTCCTAACTTCAAATAGATCTGGTAAAAACAAAAAAATATGTGTAGCCCTATAATACTCTTTAACTACCTAAGGGCCGATTCCATCGTTGTCTTAAACGGAGATTAAAATGACATTGTTAATGTAAAAATGTAATTTTAAACTTCGGTTAACACAACGGTGGAATCGGTCCTAACCCAATAAGCAATTAAATGTTGTGTCGATATGTTTTTTAAATATTAAATATAAAAATAAAAACTTACTTTATAGTCTTCAAACTGTTCACGATCAGTGAGAGCACTGACCACAGCTACAAAAGCCGCCACTAAAAACAATACAGTAATTTTGTTGAACATTTTGAATATATATTATGCTGAAAGCTCGTCGAAGATTAACAAATTTTATAAAATGCCACTGGTATTTATACGATTTATGTCACCAGAAACAAAAACAATAGTTAGGTAATAATTGTCCGTTTTACTTGGAATAATTATTTGAAATAATATTTGACCGGGGTAACCTTCAAATTAAAATAAATAACAAACGTTCTTAAGCCGGGCTCCACACATTGTTCATACGATAAGGCAAGCATAACTTGGCACTAAGAATAGATAGATCAATTACTACAAATAAATGATTCAAAGATGTAGTCAGAATTACATTTTTCAGTTAATTTTTGTTTTAAAATAAAATGACAGCCGAAAAAAGAAAACTGATCAAAAAATATAAACTAAATTTATCCGCTCTTCTTTTCTGTATCTGTTACGCGCGGGGGCTGGGTTGACCCACGATACTTAGGCCTCACTATGTCCATTGTACACTTTATGCAAGGAGTACCGTCAAAATTTCTGAATTTTTGATGTGTTAAATTACTTGATGTCCCCATCAAAAGTGTCCATGGGCCCAATCGTATCCTATGACTAGATTTTGAGATACAGGGTGTTGAAGTTAGAAATCCCTAGTTCCTTAAAATGGACACCATAAATTACTTTTCAATATTTTTTGAAGTTATTCGCTTATTTGTAGTCAAAATACATACTTAACTACTATAATTAAAATAGTGTCCCTTACAGGGTGATTAATGATTCGACAGATCTTTTTTGCTCAATGTAGGTATTTGCACAGAAGAAAAATAGCTGAAATACCGAAAAAAAAAAAAAATATGTCACCGTCAGAGTCTCTCAATATTTGATATCGTATAGTACTCGATGTACTCCTTAAAAATAAGTAGATATTAAATAAATGAATTTTAAACAATAAATATATACTGACATAAGTAGATATTTTCAAGAGAAATATCTTATATTAAATATTTTGACACACTGTGTTAGATTAGGAATATACCCCTTGTACTATTTGGAAACAGACAAAAATTTCGTACTTACAGGGTAATCGCGGTTGAATATGTAAGATAAAAAATCAACAAAATGTTTAAATTGTTGCCAAAAAATAGAAAATAATTACCTTGTAAGTTGTTCATCAAAAAAATATTATATATAAGGAGTCATACTTTATTCTGGCACAAAAAAATTGATTATACGGTAGGTCTAAGTAGGATGTGGAGAAATGAATTACGATCGGACTGCAGGTTTATTTGGCTCGAGTATTGTCATGAGTACCTATTTGTATTGTATATTTAAATAAGATTATGAGTTCCATTCCACGCCACCAATGAGGTAAAGCCCCCAATACATTTTGTTTTAAGTCGCATCCCCAGGGCCGACTAGAGGGGGGTAGCCGGGATCAATTCCCGGGGCCCGCACTCAAATGGGGGCCCGGCAGCGGTATAAGGGGGGCCCGGCAACCGGATATTTGTCGGTTTGTATGAGCAGTTCGGCACAAGACCAGAGAGGAAAAGTTTTTGCTTTTTGCTTGAAGACTTTTTTTTTAGAAATTTCAATTCAAGTAGAACAGGAAAAGTTTTTGTTTGGAGACCTTTTTCTGTCACGGGGCCCGATCTAGCGAATCGTCCTGGGGCCCGGCCTGGCTCTCGGCGGCCCTGCGCATCCCCTAAAGACAGTTGAACTTGCAAGGTGAAAAAATCAACAATATATAAAATGATTGTCAAATATTAGAAAATAAATTGCTTGTGATTTCTTTATTGAAAAAGATTATAAATATACATACATTAATATTTTAAATAGGCAATACCAAACTTTGTCGAACTTACTCGAGGTGCGGCCACCTCCTCGTGGTGAGTTCTGGGTTGATTTAACATTCAAAAATGGTTTTATTATCTTGTAGCTGTCATAAACCCCTTGAGTTTTAAATCAAGCGAAGAGCTGCACAAAGTTGAATTTTTTAATTTTTTTAATTTCTCACCCCTAAGGGTCCAGCTAAATATTTTATTTTTTCACTAATTTATTTTTATATAGGGTATAAACAACATAAGACAATTTTTTCGCAGTAGCCAGAACTAATTTATTTTTGGTAATTTTTGACCTACCCTATTATACAAGCAGTGCAATAGTCCTACAAACATGTAAACCAATCATTATTCATTTCCCTAGATCCTGCTTAGACCTACCGTATAATGAACTTTTTTTGCAATGAAATAATGTATAACCCTGTATGTAAACTAATAAGATTTTTTTGATAAACAACTCGCAAGTTAAAAGGCAATTATTTTCTATTTTTTTGCCAACAATTTCAACATTTTGTTGATTTTTTCACCTTACATATTCAACCGCAATCACTTTGTAACTACGAAATATTTTTGGCTGTTCTCAAATAGTACAAGGAATATATTTCTAATTCAACACAGTGTGTCAAAATATTTAATAATGCAGTATTTCTCTGGAATATATCTACTTATGTTAGTATATTTATTGTTTAAAAATCATATATTTGGTACATATTAAGTTATATTTGGAAAACTAGTCATCTGATCTAAGTTTACCAATAAGAATTTCGAACAAATACATCAATAACTATACAATATAAAATATTGAAAGACTTTGACGGTGATATTTTGTTTTTTTCGGTATTTCAGCTATTTTTGTTTGGTGAAAACACCTACTTTGTCTAAAAATGATCTGTCGAATCATTAATCACCCTGTAAGGGACAATATTTTAAATCTTAACTTAATTAATAAACATGCGCCCATTAAAACGTGTACATTTAAAACTAGTAGAAGAAAACAACCCTGGATTACGGACAATGTTAAACTTATGCAAAGTCTTAGAGATAAAGCTCTACGAAAGTATAAAAAGTCAAAGCGAGTTGCTCATTGGGATTATTATAAACAGTTACGGAATTTAACTTCGGCTACAATTAAGCGAGAAAAAAAAGCTTTTCTTGAGTTTAAGTTAACAAATTGCAGTCCTAAAGAGAAATGGCAAGAATTGAAAAAATTAAAAATCATTAAAGATGCCAATTGGGAGTTACCGATAACCCTAAAAAATGAAAATGCATACAATAACTTCTTAATAAATGAAACTAAAGATGATCGGGAACCTGATAAAGACTTAGTAAATTTTTACAATAATAATTTTAATATAAAAGTAAACACTGAATTTAAATTTAATCATACAGCTGATATGGAGGTACTAAATATAATTAAAAATATAAAAACCAAAGCTTACGGTAATGATAATTTAAACATACAAATCATTATTATTTTTTGTCCATTTATTATACCTTATTTAGTACATATTCTCAATAAATGTATAAATATTAGTTATTTTCCCAAGATTTGGAAACGAGCTTACGTACTACCTCTACCAAAAATTTCAAATCCCACAGAATTTAGTCAATTAAGGAGCATCAGCATTCTTCCAACATTTTCAAAAATATTGGAAAAGATACTGGAAAAGCAAATCAGGGAATTCGCAGCTATGACAAAATTATTACCCCTAAATCAGTCCGGATTTAGAAGCGGTTACAGCTGTACTTCAGCCCTGTCTGCTGTTACTGATGACATTATTCATGATCTTGATAAAAATAAAATGTGCATTCTCATTTTAATTGACTATTCTCGTGCGTTTGATACTCTTAATCATGCAATTCTTTTGTCAATTTTGCGATATTCAAAATTTAGTAGAGCAGCTGTAAATCTAATTGAGTCCTTTCTCTCTGATCGCGAACAAAAAGTTAAAATTGAAAATAAAACTTCGAACAGTTTGAAAGTACATCAAGGTGTTCCTCAGGGTAGTACTTTAGGGCCTCTGTTGTATACGTTATATACTTCAAATTTTCACACACATTTAGACCATTGTAATTACCATTTATACGCAGATGATACTCAGATTTACTATTCTTTTAATATATCTGATACACATCTTGCTAATACAAATATTAATGATGACTTATTAAAACTAGTTTCGTTATAGGAAAAACATCTATTAAAAATTAATGCCAATAAGTCCCATGCTATTATTTTCGGAAACGAGAGCAATAAATCATTAGCTTTGAGACACCTGCAAGTTTTTATAGGATCAGAAAAGTTGGCTTTTAGTAGTCATTGTAAAAATCTAGGTATTTATGTTGACTCAAAGCTACATTTTGATAAACACGTGAGTGAAAAAATTAAGAAAGCTTATTACTCTTTAAAATTAATCTATCCGCACAGGTCTGAAATGAACATACAAACAAAAAAAATGTTAACAGATTCACTTGTACTTTCGCACTTTAATCACTGCGACGCCGTATACGGACCTTTCCTTAGGAAAATAGATTCGTACCGCATTCAAAAAGTGCAAAATTCGTGTTTGCGCATGATTTATGGTATACGCAAAAGGAATCGGATATCACACAAACTTAAAGAAATAGGATGGTTAAGTATGTACAATCGTCGTAAACTTCATACCTACTGCTATTTCTGTAAGATTCTTAAAAGTAAACATCCCCCTATTTATTTAGAAAAATCAAATTTAGAACAGATATGCACAACCTGAATCTAAGAGTAAAAAATCCTATTACCATACCAGCACACAACAAGGAACTATATAAATCATCTTTTTCTTATCAGATTGCATCTGTTGGTCACTTCATGGATATACCAAGTTTCTCTCTTTCGTTAAGAGCCTTTAAAAAAAAGCAAACGAACAAGTTGTTTCTGCAACAATAGTCTCCAGCTATATATTATATTTGTACACACGCTAGAGAAAAAAATAAATGATTTTTACATCATAATTAAAATATTTTAATTGTATTATTCTTTCGTGGTTAAGTTTTTTTTGTATTAGGTTTGGAAATGAAAAATGTTAGTTAAGGTCTGTAACTTCATACATATAATTATTTAATTGTTGTATTATTATTATTTGTATTACTTTTTATTTTAGGATGATGAGGAAGAATTGGTCTCTAGACCTATCATCACTCCTTTTGTTTACTAGTGGTTTTCTAGATATAAGTAAACGAATGATTATATATTTTTTATTTATGCGGTTAGAATTCCAAGTAAAAATAGGGGCCAATTATACGGTACCCAAAAATTCCAGTTCAAATATTCAGTTTTTCCGGAAGTTGCGTATGCAGTTCATGAAATGTTCTGGGATTTAAATCGGACCAATAACGACAGTTGTGACGATTTACTGAACTATTTAGGAAAAAAGTGTATTCGTCAGAAAAACGCACGTTAAAAAGAAATTGCTTGTTCAGTCATAATTTCACAAAATTGTAATCGTCTATCAAAATTGTCTTGGTTAAGTTCTTGTACCAGATGTATTTTTTAGGGATGATACTTGTGTTTTTTCAATATCATCTTCGTCTAAACCTTCTAAAATGGTAATTTCTAATGCCTCTTCCATATTATGTACTATTATAAATAACAAAAAAGATAAACTGTAATTTAAAATTTTTAAAATGAGGTTAGAAATATGTATAAGAACAAGGACTCTAATGTCAAAATTTCAGGTTTGCAATAAGTATTATTTTAGCATGGAATTTATTTGCCTCTAATTACGTTGTCACTATTATTGGCTGACGTTATTGAAATTTGCAATAACTCTAATCAGAGCTGTAATCTCTGTCTCTAATGTTACGCAGATTTTTGGTATCTCAATTTACTTCAACTCAACTTTTATAATAACAATACAACTTATACCATTAACGTATGTCTGTCATAAAACTGATCTCTGACATCAGGTCGTCGACTTATATAGCTCACCTCAGCTTTCTAGAATCTTCTCGAACAATCCAGATTTTTCTTTGACAAGGAATGACATTTCGAGACATTTCTGGATTATTCTATCTTCTTCATTTACTCGCACCTTTACTTATGATGACCGCAGTACGCTGCAGGGTGCTGCGTAACAATATTATTTTTCGTTTCTGAAATAGGAATTTTTTTAATGTTTGTAACCTACCGCACCCAGGTACCATAATCATTTATTAATTCCATTTTATAAAAAAAAGTTGCATTCTTATTAAATACCAAATTCTTCATTTAACAAAAATATCCCAGATAATTAAATCTTATTTACGACACCTAATAAATAACATCTATAACCCAGCCCGTAAGAGATCCAATTTCTTAAAAGTGTCTGGGAACGCAATCTAAAACCACCATACAACACGAAGTAATAATCATTAAAACTCTTAACGCACTTATCTTAAGTCAGTTTTGAATAGGATTGTTTTCGATACACAAACTTTCCAAGGCAAATAATAAATCAGCCACCCCCTATCCACCTAAATTCGTATTTTCTATGAGAAACAAAACGATAGAGACGTCACAAAAACGATTAAACTGTGTATAAAAACCAGAGTTAAATGAGCTCAGATTCATTCAATTTTTGTCATTTGATGTGCAAGCATACATTTGTTAGTTCACATTCAAAGCAATCACCTTATTGTCAGTACCCAGTTATACAGTCTGTACCTTTCCTAAAACGCTCTTCCTAAAAACGACGTCTATCCCACAATACCTCCAATTTCCCAAAGGTGTCAACGTCTCGACGTCCAACGCCTCTCTGTTCTACTTCCCTACCTTTCGACGTCCCAACGATATCACTTCTAATACCACTTAGTATTTTTTACCATTATATTCATCCCGACGCCCAACGTCTCGACGCTCAACGTCACTACGTCATCTCTTTATCCGACGTCCTCATCCGTCGCTCAACGTCCCTGCTAATTATCCAGAATACAAAAATATAAAATGTTTGAAATAGAAACAGACGATAATATAAACCCAACGGCCTGTTTATCCGATGGTGAGTTAATAACAACCAAACTAAATTTGTAAAAATGGGAATTTATTGTTGAATAATAATAAGTATTATTGTGTAACTCATTATTATTCAATAATGGTAAATCTTTACCTTGGAGGAATTTATTGCTAGCCGACGTCGCATTTAGCTCGTCCAGATGTGTATGCTATGGGCCATATTGCCTTCAAATTAATATATCACCGTAAAAGATAATAAGAGTCTGGTTACCGAACTGTCAATGAACCCTCGCAAATAACAGCTCATCTGATTGGGGTAAATGACACATCGGACGACTAGACTCACATTTATCCGAATATGCTTGATGTTACTACAGGGTTGGACTATCTTAGATAATTATCTCTCAATCTTCGCACCGTAGGTAGATCTGAACATAAGGGGTAGTTCGCTAGTATTGCTCTGGCTCTATTCTAGTAAGACTACATCTACATAAAACCCCCCTAGGTGAGGCTGAAACATAAGGGATATCCGCCTGTTATTGCAACGACGGTATTTCAGTAAGCGCACCTATATAAAAAAAAAACAACGAAACAAAGAATTATTAAAGATAGTGCAATTCTGAGGACGTCTGCTGTCTATTTTCAAGAATTGTTTAATTACAAATATTTGATGGCAAGTGGCCTGTGGCCTGTTGTTTGGGCGAGACACATGTGAGGTCTACCTTATATTAAAATAATCTGTACATATTTATTGGAGATCAAGAAAATAAATTAAGTTAAATATACTTTGAGCATTATTTCATTCACAAATTTGTACCAAACTTTGCATCGAATCCTGGTTTATTTTAATTAACATTATCACAACGTGGGTATATAAATTATCAATTAATTAACTAGACGATCACTACACTACTAGAGGAAAAGGCCATATACAGTAAGTATGAATTTCTTTGAATTTCACAAGGGGAGGGAGGTAGTTAAATTAAAATACGGGCTTTTAATGATTATCTACAAGACCGGGGGGTGGGAGGTCACATGTTCAACTCCTCTTAACCCCTCAATTTTTATTCAGATGTTTTTCAAAATAAATTGATTTTCCCTAAAAATTTTAAATTGATATCGTTTTCCCTTTTTCAACTTATCGTGCAGACAAAAAACGTGATATCGGACGGACAGACGGACGGACGAAGCGAATGCACAATACTATTTGCAGACCAGTGTGTGTGAAGAGTATAATAATGTCCATCAAGCAGCGACACGCTCCAGGTTGCCGTTAAATTATATTACTATAAAATATTTAGAACACAGTTTTACCGAAATTAACCTAGGCGACATATTCTAAAATATATCTGAAAAGGTCGCGGTGGACAAGGACAAATAATGTCAAACTCCTTTTAAATTTAATCTAAATTTACATAAACAGCAACTATTTTTTTGTTAAATGTTTATTTTATATCGTAATTACTCTTAAACAATAAAAAAAAAATTGAATTATGAAACAACAATGTCGCAATAAATTTTATTATATAACTCGGTTCCACCTAATTGAAGCTGTTTACCAGAATTGTTTTATATTTTTTTTAAATTTGAGTTCATCTTGAATGATATAAAGTTCCTGTCATTAAGTATTACGTATTAACTGTTTTAGTATTATAGTGATAACAATTGAAGATTATTGCTTCAAAAAATTTTATGGGACTTTATGAATTATTATATTTATTCTATTCTACACCATTTCAACATTACAACATAGAGGACATAAATCTGTCGAATATTGGTTAACTTCGGAAGTGCCTCAAGGCTCAAACTTAAAGCCATTACTTTTTCTAATATTTAATAATCTGTATAATACTGTGCCATTAAGTATTAAGTTTCTTTTTAAGGGTGGCTATGTACAGCAAACAAAGCGTATGGTAACACAGTCACTGACACAGTTCTTCTTATTCGTAAATAGACCACTAAAAAATGTTCTAAGCACTGCCCATCTAATCAAAAAAAATGTAATACGAGTATATGAATTAAAGATAAAAATTTTCAAGAAACATTTTATACGAAACATTTTTTATATCTTTATCATAGCCAACGAAAATATTGAGAAGATTCGAATTTTCTTCAAATTTATCCAATACAAATCATGTATATGACGAAAATGATAGAGAATAACATCGCAAACAACTTTTTTTCGAAGAATTCTCTTACTCGATTGTAAATAAGTAACAGAAATAAACATAGAAAAAATGTGGATGTGGATATATTCGAGGAACATATTTGTTTTCGTACATAATTTTTTTTATCGTAAAACGTAAGTTTTGTCAAACTATTACGGATTTTTTGAGTAAGTACCTATTTTCTTCTGTTATTTTTAAAAGATGCCTCCCAGACAGCACACCAAATCCTTTAGATATCTACTGAACATCCCAATATCCACTGAATGTCCAGTCCATGGTGGATATCTATTTAATATCCATGAGCTGCAATTTATAGACATGCAAATGTCCATAAATAATAGTAAATATATAGCAAATTATTAAAAAATTACGCCATTGTGCTCGCCATTGTACCGTTCAGATATTTAAAATTAATTTTTTTAAGGTGTATTTAATATCCCATGGACATCCACTAAATATATCAAAGTCTAGGCGCAAACGCAAACCATCGTGGATATCCACTAGATGTAATTTTTGATTTTGCTTACTAAGTATAGATGGCGATACTACTTTCACATCTACTCATGCTCAACCCGCCGTAATTGAGTTCGATCGAAATTTTTTTCAAAATCAGACTCCATTAGAGACTGGAGTCGAGAATTTCCATTTATTGCTGAAGAGGGATAACTTTCTTCTTAGTAGGCAAAATCAAAGGCAGAGTGTTGAAAATATTTTGAGTGTTGAAAATATTTTTTATCTCTGCTATTTTCTTTCGACTTTATTCAATATTCATTGGTTACTTATCAACCTCTACTAAAGATACCTATAAAATATTTTGCCGAATATCCGAATTCTTCTATATCCTGGGATATAGACGTATATTTGGTTGGATATCCATATTGGATATCCACAGAATATATTCTGTGGATATCTCTGGGATTTCTTGTATTGTCTGGAAGATACTCATTAGATATTTTGCTGGATATCTTCTATATTCCGGATATAGACGGACATTTGGATATCCATATTAGATCCACGGAATATTTCTGATATCCTGTGGATATATTGGATATCCACAAAAGATATTCTGCGGATATCTCTGGGATTTGGTGTGTTGTCTGGGCCTACGGTTCTAATAAGTCATACAATTTATATGTTTCTAATGTAACTTCAGTATTAAAAAGAAATCAGTTTAATAAATAGCAACGTTTATTATTCCTGTTATTTGAAATTAAATATTTTATCTTTTTTGTTTTATTCATTCTAGGTTAAGTGATGGATTTTGTAAATTTAATTCTTCCAATTTGTGATTGTTTGACCAAGAATCTATGTCAATAAATAAAAATTATTTTTATCTTTAAATAGTGTCTAGTGTTATAACTGCTTGAAACTCGGCTTGAATATCGCCTGCATATCAATAACCCACAAACCAGAAATACAATAATAAATCAGAAAACAATTACAATCTTATCATTTCACCCAAATGACCCAATGATGGTAAGATACCATTATCACGGCACCGATTTTGTTTTCAACAACAATAACTTATCTCGAATTTCAAGAATAAAAATAAAATAACAATATAATTACAGATCTACCCCAAATAATCTATCAATATGTTAAAGTTTATCAACGTTGTATGACAATTTTATTGTATAAATAGATTGACGATCGATTAAAATATTATTTATTTAATTTCAAAATGAGGGTTAAATTTTTATTATTGTTTTTCGTTGCTATAGCTGCAGCTGTTGTAGACGTTCCTGAATATGAAGATGATGAAAGAGAGTGGGTCAAATTCAAGGTTAGTGGTTACTTTCCATTAAAAATTTATAAAGTATTTACTAACTTTACAATCCATGTTAGTAATCCATCATTCATTACTGCGAGAGACATAGTAATGTGTGGCAAAAAAAGTTTTTAAAGTAGGGCGTGACCGACAAAAACAGAGATACGAGTCAATTGTGATAGCTACATTCGACTCGGATCTATGGTAGATGCGCCCTATTCTACTTTTGGAGCTTACCTGCTTTTTAAGAAGGGTCAAGTTAGTGGCAGTTGCGCCCTGTTTTTATTTGCAGGTAGTTAGGTAGTAGGTAAACTTAAAATACTTGCGATACATTTTTAGTATTCTAAATTTCATTATTTTTATTATGGTGAATCACTGGAAGATGGGCTATAACTACCGCAAAAAGTTTCTTATCATAAAAGTATAAAAATCAACAAAAACACCCGATATGGAACAATTTACTGTAAGGCAACGTCGGAAACTATCGGTAGATAAAATACTATACGTGACATGTAGAAAGAATGAAACATGATTATTTTCAATTGCGGTGTTGTCGCGTTTAACGCTTTTAAAATCCATGCATTTATTTGCAGGCCTGGTGTTTGCCATAGTTTAGCTTAGTATTTGCAGTTAAAATAGCTTAATGTACTTTGTACACATTTTATACGTTACAGTCATTTATGGGTCGATTTTGATACAATAAGCCAAAATCTGTAAAAAATTACATTAATTTTTAATGATCTTTATCATTATCTGAACTTATAAAATAAATCTGGAAATAATACCATTTAGCGCTGTATTTAGTTTATTAAAAAACCGATGTTGTCATTTACATTCAACTTGAGAACTAAACAGGCGTCTCTTAGGCTACCATTCTTGCTTTACACCTTTGCTATACTGCAAAATAAATGTTGTACTGTCCTGTAAATCAGCTTCAGCTACAATACCACTTTTTGAAACCAAAAAATTCATTAAATTGATAATAACTGGCATTTTGTGCGTTTTAGAGTCTTATTTTAGGTAAATTTCGAATTATAACATAAACCATCCTCGTATATAGACTCTTCCGTATAATAACTTGCACACCGTGAATAATTGCAATTCTCTTTTTGTTAACAAAATTAGTCTAGTAGTTGTTCGTCGTTATTTCCTGATTCAATTGATAATTTTGCAGCAACAATTTGATAGACACTACTCTCCAGACGAAGAAATCTACCGTTTAGCCATCTTCAAAGCCACACTTAAAGGCATTAAAGAACACAACGAAAAATACAAGAGAAACGAAGTAACATGGACCCAGGGCATCAATCAATTCGCAGACTTGACTCACGATGAGTTTGTCAACAGGTAAACATTCATTATTTTTATCACTAAATATTAATAAACAACATTTTAAATGTTTAAAAACTCTTTATTGTTGACTTTTATTATAAATAAACAACTTCCAAATGTTTAAAAATTATTTATTGTTAATGTTGAATATTAATAAACAAGTGTAGCATACTATTAATTAGGCAACCAACTTTACGTCAGTGTTTGATTTTGTCACCCGGGCGGGAGAGCGGATAAAACGGGAATAAACCTAACTAAAATCAAAAGATGAACGAGTTCGTTTAGGTATTCACTAACAGTTTTCCCTTTTTTCAATACCTTTCATTTTAATATTGTTTAAGTCCAGTATTTTATAATAAATAATTCTTCTATTTCAAAGCTTTAATTTTATTATGTGAGTGAGAGTACCACAAGGAATTTACATTTTAAAACTAAAGCCCCACGTTGGGCGCCATTTGTAACGTATTACTAATTAGGCAACTATCTCTACGTTATGCTGTTTGTCTTAGCCTCTAGGGAGGGCGAACCAAGCTGGGATTAACCTATGGAGAATTGAAACATTGACGAGTTCGTTTAGATTCATTATCTTCCTTTTTTTTTGATACCTTTCATTTTAATTTCAACTCCAAGAAATCAACCTTTTGCACACCTCCAAAACTGTTTAAAGACTCTTCAATTCTGTTTAAAAGCTAATACCCTTCCTAAAGTTACTTTTCTTTTAATATACAGTATGGCCCAAAATAAGCAGTACTTCCGTAGTAGCGGATAATTTTCAAAGACTACCAGATCTCACCTTTTCAGCCACATATGACCAAAGAAACAGTCTTCAAAAATACACCACAAACCATCAGTGAATTAGAGGATGATACGTATTTCTTAAATAAAAGAATTGTAAATTTAGTACGGTTTATTTTGGGCCATACTGCATAATAAAGTAGTTACAATATCCTGATTTGTGAAGGTACACTATGGCCAGATGGATTCGACAACAGCAAAAAGCTGAACAACATCCTGGTCACTCTAATTCTCATGCTGTCACCGCTGTAGGTGCAGCTCCTCCTGTAGGAGTTAAAGGGGGACCAGCGAAAACTGACAGACAGATGTTACGAGTTGGACTTGTTTTACCAGCAGGATACCACAGCCCAGCCACTCTTGATAATGATGGAGAAATGGAATCTGATGATAAAGAATGGGAAAAATTCAAGGTAAGATCTAATTTTATTGAAACACTCAGATAGCACAAAGTTGTCTTAAAAACGTCTTTAAGACATCTTGAATAAGACATATCAGACGTCTGATGTTTCCAGAAAGACGTCTGATGTTAAAAAAAGGGAAGGGGGTCTTTAAGACATCTTATTAATGGCTTATTATGGTATGTGCCATAAAAATCAGTAACATCCTCTCAGATACCTACTACTATTTTTTCCACCTCATCCTCTTAAGACCCGATCCCTGACTCCTCCAATGCGCCTGAAGAGGCTAGGAAAACCTATAACGAACCGTTCCCAATTGGAAGAATTAAGTATACACATCCTTTACCTTTTTTACCTCTCACATTAATATGGATTTGGTGAGACGTCTTACAAGACATTTTAAAAATGTCTTTGAGCTCTCACATTAATACGTCTGAATTATGGCTTCCGCTAGACGTCTTAATTACGCCCTAGGACATTAAAGCCAAAGAAAGGCATAAAACAGACGTCTTTAAGACATTGTGTGTTGTCTGTAGCATACTATTGTCTATATATAATTAAATTTTATTCTACCAACGATATGCAGTTAATTTCATCTTAAAATGCCATCTCTTTACTAGAGTGACAGAGGTTTCTTTAAATTCTTACTTATTTTTGGCTTATCTTTTGAGAGTCTGGAGGTAAACATCAATCTATTCGTTGGTAATATGCCTTTGTCTTCTATCATGTCTACTACTTTATTCAGATCTATCCTTCTAGATTGCAAAGCTTCCTAACATGCAAGTGGTCGTTCAAAATCATATGTTTGTTTCTGCGCAATGCCTAAAGATATCCCTATTTCACTATATGTCACATATCGATCAGATAAAATCATTTCACGTACAGTATCATTATTTTTCGCGACAACAGATGTGCTTAGAAGATCTTAGGAAAGATCGTTATGAAACGTTGATCTTCCAGGCTTTAATTCTGCGAACCGTACACCAAAGAAGATTCACTTTTAGAAAAAACAGTGATCTCGTGTATTTTTCCATTCCATGAAGTCCAGGAAATTCGTCCAATAATGTAATTATACTGTTTAGAAGAGATTCAGTGTTTAAAGTTAAGTTGCTGTCAAAGGTTTACTATTTAGGATCTTAGGACCGATTCCACCGTTGTATTAAACGGAGATTAAAATGACATTGTTAATGTAAAAATGTCATTTTAAACTTCGTTTAACACAACGGTGGAATCGGTCCTTAGACAGTTATTTCTAGTATTGTTTTTATTACTTTGTAGACGAAATTCCACAAACAGTACGCCACACCATCTGAAGAATCATACCGCTTCGCTGTCTTCAAGCTGGCTTTGCAAGCAGTCAGGACACATAACAAGAAATACCAAAACCACGAAGTGTCATGGTGTCAAGGTATCAACCAATTCACCGATTTGACGCAACAAGAATTTGAAAGTAAAAACAACCTAAAACCACCACAGGGACATGAACATGACGGAGAAAAATTAGGAAGTGACGAAGAAGAATGGATCAAATTCAAGGTAGATAGGTACTCAAAATAATTATTTTTTGAATGTATAATTCAAAAAATATTTTCAGACACGATTCAATAGACACTACAGCAGCCCCAAAGAAGAAGCTCGCCGTAAGAACATCTTCTTGGCCACCTTGAAAGTTATCAGAGATCACAACGAAAAATACAACAGGTACGAAACCAGCTGGCGCCAAGGTGTTAACCAATTTGCCGATTTGACTCTTATTGAAACTAGCTACATAATGATCAAACCACAATTAGGCACATACAGTGGAGTGCCAGAACAAAAACCTGAAGATCAACAAGAACACACTGGAAATATCGAAAAAGTTGAGGACGACGATGAAGCTTGGCAGAAATTCAAAGTAAGCATGTTTGATATATGCAAGATTTTAAAAGTATATAAGCGGAGTATATTAATATGAAGTAACTATATTTTTGGTTACAGAAAGATTTCGACAGGCACTACCCCACCTCAGACGAAGAAAACTTCCGCAAAGGCATCTTCATGGCCACCCTTGAAGGTGTCAGGGAACACAACAAAACGTACAAGACCAAAGGACTTTACAGCCAAGGCATCAATGAATTTTTCGACTTGACACAAAAGGAATTCGCGGCGAGATACACCATGAGAGATTACGTCAGGCGACGAGCTGGACTCACATCGGAATCACAGCCACAAAGCAATTAACATACTTAAATTATCTATAAAAATATAATGTATAATATGAAAAATAAATACAAAAAAATGTTTTTTATGTGTATCATAAAATGTTATTTTGTAACTGTACTATTTGTATAATAAAATAGACAAATCAAAATTGAATACTTTGACGTCTCTAAGTTTAAATAATCACCAAGCTTGCTGTGGATGGTAACTTATGTGTTGTTATGGTTACTAATAGTTCTTGTCCTATAATAGAAAAAGAATAGAATTGGTCCGATTTGAATGTAGAAAAGGTGAGATGATTTGAAATCTTAAATAGAATATATAATGAAAAATAAAACAATCGGCACAGAGATCGCCAAAAGGGCATATCTTCGTTATTATTGGTCCGATTCGAATGAGACAAACGACATTCAACGTAAAATGTCATATAGACGTAATACATAGTGATTATTAGCCCGATTCTAATGGGAAAAACGTGATTTTATTCAAAATGTTATGTAGACGCAAGAGATTATGAAAAAAATTGGACAGTAGCATCGCTAAAAGAGCGTTAACGAATATCTTTGTTATTTTTTATCCGATTTAAAGGTGGAAAACGGTATCTACTGAATAAGTGCTCTTTAATATAATAAAAAAGTTCTAAATGGTTCGAGTATTATCATAATTAAGATATTATTAATTTTAGATTGTTTATATTGTTTTTTGTTTTGTATTTTGACTTTGGTATTTTTGTTGAAATATGAGTTGTCAATCTTATTCAAATCTATACACCTCGTGTACGACTAATAAAATTTGATATCAGATGGTTGCATATTAGGTTCTAGACCATGCATAACTTTTTCCTAAATTTAATAATAAACAATTTTCCATGTACCTAGACAGTTGACGGCATATGGAAAAGTTTTTAATATTAATTTTAAGAAAAAAAGTTATTCTTCATAAAAAGTTGTGCATACTCTAAAAACCTAACATGCAATTACCTGATATAAAATTTTATCAGTCGTATACGAGATTTGGCCAAAATAAAGGTACCTACTTTACTATTGAGTAAAATTTATATTTATTGACACACCTCCTATACGATGCAGTTTTTTTAGATTTGTTGGTTGAATTTTATGTTCTAGCTAGACCATGCATGACTTTTTATAAACAATAACTTTTTCCATGAAACTAACAATAAAAAAGTTTGGTGCTGACTTAATTTGACACATTATATGAAATTACTTACCTATGTACTTTTGTTTTGTGACTGTAATTGTGTAATTATGTGTTTTCTTTAAAAGAACTATTTTATTTTTACTTTTTACTTTCCTATCTGTATACAGATATAAGGAAAGTATAGGAATCATGATTTTTATCGACCTCGAGTTTTCGACGGATTTTTACGTTTTGATGTCCCCTGAATCCGTTTTGACTATTTTCGCGATGATGTCTGTGTGTGTGTCTGTGTCGCATAACTCATGAACCGATACACAGAAAAACACCAAATTTTAAACTTAAACTTTATTCCAGCGTCCAATGAACTGATTAGATTTTGGGCAGAGTCGGAACATCTGGGGGGATACTTTATAGGTGGTCATTTTTATATTTTATGGAATATATCTGTTATTTACGTTTGGAGAAAATTCTTCAAATAAAAGTTACTTCTAATATAATTATCTATAATTTTTGTTCTATACAAATTTTTTCTAAAATGGTCCGTATTCGAGAAATTTGACAAAATGTAAAAAAATATTTTTTTATAAAAATTGTTCAAAAAAAAGTTGTTTGTAATATAATTCTCTATAATTTTTATTCAATACATAATTTCTCTAAAATGGACCGTATTTGAGATATTTGAGAAAATGTGTAAATTTCGAATTTTGAAGAAAACTCAAAAACAGATAAAGAAAAAAACATTAAATTTTAAACTTAAGGTTTATTTCGGCCTGACGTAAAATGATTAGATTTTGGACAAAGTCGGAACATCTAGGGGGGTACTTTATGGGAGGCTGTTTTTATATTTTATGGAATTTATCTGTTATTTATATTTGGAGAAGAAAATTGTTCAAATAAAAGTTACTTCTATTATCTATAATTTTTGTTTTGTCAAAAATTTCCTGACATGGTCCGTATTCGAGAAATTTGACAAAATGTGCCAAACTCTGATTTTTATGAAAATTGTTGGAACTAAAATTTGTTTGCGATATCTATCTCTATAATTTTTGTTTATACATGATTCTTCTAAAATTGACCGTAATGGAAAAGTGCTAAATTTAAATTTTTCAGTATTTTCGTTTTCAATGAATATCTATAGAAAAATGTTTCGAGGTAGATGTATGTGGACAATGTATATATTTAGTTTATCCTCTAAACATTTATAGAGATGCTACAATAGGTTGTACAAAATAACCGGAAAAAGCCTATAATAACTAGATACATCAGATTTTTATGTAGGACACTGTATCTTACGATATATGTTTTGATGTTGTCAATTTTTGAAAACAAATTTAGTTTGAACATCTTTATTGAATATTAAACTGGGAAACGAAACTCTGCAGTTTTCTGAGACTCAGTTGTAAGTTTCATATATTTTTTAAATTTGCGATTTTTGCGGAATCATCAATTTTCACCTGTGTCATTGTTCTTTCGGAGAAACGAAATAAGAAATTAATAAACACTCACCTCTAATTGAAGTCACAGAAGCCCCATGTTCCATTCGTTGTCTCGTCTTTCCCATCCAAGGTCCAAAAACCATTTTTTTTCGCGACACCCGGTATATTTAATTCCGGAAATCTTCTGTTCCCGGCGACGAGCTTTCATTCTGACCTCAATACTCAACGTCTCATTCCGTTTCAATAGCAAGCCTTCAATGCCTCCAGGTTGTTATTAAACTCAAGTTTTTTTACTTGGTAACCAAAAAATTACATTAATTTAAAATTTTTAACTATAAAAATATGATATATACAAAGTGTTAAAGCAAAAATAGATATAATTCTAAAACTGTAAATGGTTTGCTTAAAAAATGTCATAAGACAGTGAATTTTTATGTTACACGAATATAGTTAAACATAAAAAAATGTATTTCCTATTGCTTAAATTAGCAGATGTGCTTTCGTTTATAATTAAAAAATTTAAAGAACTACATTGCTTGAAAAATAAATAATTTGACCTATATTTATTTACAAGTCTATCTTTATTAAAAAAAAAACGGTTTTTCCAAATAAGTTCATTTGAGTTTAATAAAAATCCTAAAACCATCGCCGACCACTATTTTTGCAGCCTTGTCCATTCGATCTATACAGAATTTACACCTTCGAAAAACTAAATACTGCAGATTTTCCGCTCGTACTTTTTCCACAGAAAATAAATTCGAAAGGTGTAAAGTTCTGAAGATAAAACGTCTTTATTGTCAAATGAAACGATTACAAATACACCACATCGTCAATGTCGATACAACAGGCAGAAAGATGTTTCTGCGCATGTGTCCCATGGGCATAGACGACGTCAACAAACATGAGTTGCTTTACGAAAAAAAAACTAATTTTAAAACCGAGTAAAATTGATGTATATCTAGCAACTCCAACATACTCCTACCCGTTACATTTTTCGGACATAGCGAATCGACACATTGATTTTAAAGCACTGAAAAGAGAAATAGTAAAATTAACTATATTTATTGATTAAAATTTGAATAAATAGAAAAACAATTTCAGTTACTCTATAAGTATAAGTCTTCGAGCATATATTACTAGAGCCATCGTCCAAATGAACTTTGTTTTGGTAGAGGAGGGAAAATAGTGTCCAGCATTCCCATTGATTTTCGTTTTGCTTGGCATGTCAAATGTTCGAAATTGTCAGAACTGTCATTTGACTTGAATAAGTAATGCAAGTTTATAAAATATGTGCATAATTTAAAGAATTTTGAAGGTATGTATCAAATTTATTATTTATATTAATTGCAAACCCCGTAAAAATGATCGACACTGGTAATAGTGTCTAGGCATTTTCCCTCATAACGTATGCGGACTCTATGAAATATATATGCTCGAAGGTATGAGTATATTTGTTTTAAATATCAATATTTTTCCTTCTAAACGGCATGCCATTGATCTACATTAAAAATATCACTCCTATTTCCCTCTTTCTATAACGGTACGCCATTGATCTATATTAAAAATATTTATGCGTCAAAATAATCAAATTATAACTGTAAACGATATACTTAGGACTTCAAGTAATAGGCTATTGAATATGTTTTAAGAAGAGAGCAATATCTCAGCTAATTCATTTTTATCAAAAAAAAAGTTTATAAGTTGTATAAACCACCATTTTAAAGGGAATTCAAACTACTATTTGTAGTGTATTATTATTTAGGTTACTATAGTTTTTCCGTTTATATTTTTGAGTGTACTTTATTATGTAATGTCATTCTGATTGTGTCATATTAAAAATATAATCCTACGAATCTAATATTATTTAGTTGGGTAAACATTACAATTTCTGGCGACGAGGATTGTGAAAGCGGACCGATTTTGATTCGGGAAGATGGCTAGCATTATAGGAATCTACACAGGAATTTAATCCGAACGTTAATGACTGGTCAGTACACTGGAAACGATTGTCTCAATTTTTTTTGGCTAATAAGATTACAGAGAATGGTCAGAAACGAGCAATTTTGCTTAATAGTCTTCATCAGGATGCATATAAACTTTTGGAAACTCTTTGTGTACCTGAAGAACCGGAAAAATATGAATTAGAAAATATTGTTAAAAAACTTGATGATTTTTTCATTAGGAAAAATGTAGTTTTTGTTGAGAGGTTTAATTTTTATGATGCAAATAAACGTATGTCTGAAAGTGCACAAGAATGGTTCGCACGTATTCAGAAATTGGCCATGTATTGTGAATTTGGTACTGGATTTGATACAAAATTGTGTGACAAATTTATCACTGGCTATAATCCAGGAAAAGTTAGGAATAAACTGTTTGGTGAAAAAAGTTCCGTAAGTTTTAAAGAGGCTTTAAATATAGCTTTAACTGAAGAAGCAGCCCAGGCGGGTATTTTGGAGTGTGGTAATGCGTTGAAAGAAGAAATGAAAGCTGAAGT